CTTGAGCTGTGACCTTGTGGGGCGAGAGGCGTCACCAGCTCAAGTAGGACACTCAACTGAGTAGTGCCCCTGGGGCCTTATAAACCTCAACTAGGTCCCCCCTTGCCCGTCTGTAGTATAAGCTGGGCAAGTTCAGGCGCTCCAATCTCAGGGTAGCTGAGATGCCGAAGTGCAGGCACCAGTTTGGTGGCCCTCACGCTGAACATTTCCTTAATGACAGTCCTAGCATATCTCAGGGACCAGATATGGGGTGACAGTACTCCAGATGAGGAAGCCTTCCTCCTGAAAGATCGTCACGAGGACCGGGAGCCAAATCTAGAATATCCTGAACGACCTTCTTATAAGACCCAATAATTTATTTGCCTGATTTACCTTCTTCTCCCCAATGGCCCGAGAACTTCAGCTCATTGTCAACATACACACCTAGGTCCTTCTCACACACAGTCTCAACTAGTACATTTCTTCATCCGTTGGGACATAGTACGCCCTCGCCTTACCGTTGGTACGCCCAGAGTGCATCCTCTTACACTTCGTGACATTGAATCTCAGCAACCCCATTCCTTCGACCATTCCTGGAGCCCACAGAGATCCTTCTGCAGCTCTTCACAGTCCGCCCAGGTTCTTGTTCCTGAAATAACGGCGTCATCGGCAAACATTTGTATGGAGGAGTGTACAACGTCAGGCATATCATTTATGAAACAAACTAAACAACAGCAGGCCCAATACACTACCCTGCAGTACCCCACTTGGCTGCAGGTACAGATGACGATTTCGTGCATTAATCACCACACATTGCTTGCGGTCATGTAGAAAGTCTTCTATCCACGCTAGGACATTTCCCCCGAATTCATACCCTTCAGTTTGATTTTCAGCCTTTCGTGGGTACACTGTCAGCCTTGGCAAAATCTAGGTAAATATTGTCGATATTACACACCCCGTTCTAGAATATGGGTCCAAATATCAATACCTTCCGAGCAGTGTGTGTCAAGCAAGAAGCGCCCCGGCATAAAACCGTGTTGGCAATCTTTTTACAAGGTTGTTTCGTAGTAGATGTTCCATCGCTGCATCTCTGATAATACTCTCAAGTACTTTTACATATTATGCTGGTCAGGCTCACCGGTCTATAGTTGTTCGTGGGTGCCTATCGCCGCTTCTTGAAGATAGGACTCACGCCAAGCCACTTTCCATTCACTGGGGGACCATTTTGTTCATCAGGCATTTACAAAACAGAATCTTGGGGCTCTTTCAAGCTCGTTGCACAGCTCCCTTAACTCTAGGATGCACCATGTCAGGTCCAGGACTCTTATGGACCTTTAGCCTGGACAGTTTATTTCTAATACCCTCTTCTGTGAACACAATGTGGGTCAGTGCAATAATCGAACCGTCTGTCCTCAAACGCAGGAAGGTTAGTTGCATCCTCTCTTGCCAGACACTGAGAAAAAAGCTGTTCAATGCCTCCAGCTTTATCCTGGTCAGAATCTGCGTAACTACCATCTTCAAGCCTCAGGTCTGTCTCCCTACTCGCGTTTTTCAATTCGACTTTTATGTATTAAAAACGCCTTTAGGTTTGACTTGACCTCGCGTGCAACCAGCCTTTGGAACTCCTTTTCAGCCCTCCTACACTCTATCTTTAGCAGTTTCTGGCTCTTGCATACATCCTCTGTCTTGCTCATCGTTTGACCCAACCCACGTCTTCTTTGAATTTCTGGGTTTTCTTCTTAATTTGTCGACCGCCGCATGGTTCATGTGTGGAAGGATCCTCGTATTCCTAAGCACTGGTTTGGTGGCGTGCATATATTTATCGATCAAATGGGTCATTTTACTAGTTACTGATGTTCAGCGTAGTGTCACCGTTCTTATGCCTTGGCCAAAGTCAGGCAGTTGATACCCTCATCTCTTCCTCATCCCATTGTAATTTCCCTTGTAATAATATTTGCATACGGCCTGGCCTTATCTTTAACTAGGTAACAGTTAAATCTGAATGACGGCTTTTATGCATGGTGACTGGCGGGTGCCAGCACGGGGCAAAGGTGGTGTTCCAGTTTGGCCACCATACTCTCCTCGTTTGTTATGATGAAGTCTAGTGGTTTGGGTGTTTGCTCCCCTCTGTAATGTGTCGGGTCTCTCACATGTTGGAACAGAAAATTATCTCTCAGAGTTTCTACAAAAAGAGTAGCAGGATTATTCAAGTCATTCGGGGTTGACTCGTTTCTCCAATCGATGTCGCCATAGTTAAAGTCCCCCATGATAAGGAGGTGGCTGGGGTTGAGCATCGCCGCATTGTTTATTAAGGTTCTTAAGTTCCTTTGATTTAATGGGCCACAGTTTGGGGATCTGTAGATACACCCGACGATAAGTAAGTCCCCTCCCTTTAATTTAATTTTACACCACTTGGACTCTTCAAAAACATCCTCTCCCTGTACCCTCGCCTGGCTGGCTCTAAGGTCTTGCCTAGCGTAAATAACCACACCCCTCCTGCAGGATTCTTGAGTTAGGTTCGTAAATGAGTCATATCCAGCAATACTGAACTCACATTCCTCTGGGTCGATTCTCCTGTTCTTGAACAACAGTTCTACAACTCCTGCAATATCTGGTTGGTGTACTCTTAGTAGTGTTTCAAACTCCTCTCTCTTATCAAGGAACGTGTCAGTATTAGTGTACATGACATTCAAGCCAGAATTTGTTCTCGGTAACGTCTCTGTTCAACATGTATAACGACAACGCAGGTATACAGTTCTCAGTGCTGTTGTCATCACGACACTGATCAAAAAGACATTAAAACACTATGTTTGTATTAAGTATTATTATGTTTATTAAAAATCACCTTATACCAGAAGTCCTTATATACAAGTGGTATTTTGCTAATACCTGGCCACTACACTGCAAGAGAGAGAGACATATCACACAAGCACAGCACTATCTTCCCTACAGAGAGAGAGGCGCACCATCTCCCCTACAGAGAGAATAGGTCACAGTTATAATGGAATACTGCATCATCTTAGTGCTAATTAAAGGCACTTATAAGTATCACAGATAATTCGACTCCTGACCTTAATATTTGTCACACTAGAGTACAGCTATACTATAATGTACTTGGTACATTAGGCACTGTTAAAGCTACTTAAACAATTAACATATTTATACGACACTATCATGGTCATAATTACACAGCTTATATTTTCACCACTACTTTGTCATATTATGCTTCCATGTCCACAAAACATGCGCAAAACTACGGAGTCGCCCCTCGAGACTCGCTTTCTCTGGTGAGAAATACCGTCCATTTTCTCTCTTTGCGTAAAGTGCGCTTCTATAGTGTAAATTTAAATGTATACATGTAATCTGTATGAGTAGCCAAGTCAAATATACCTACCGTGTGCTGAAGCAGTCAAGGTGTATTGAGTATATGTTGAAGGCTTCATCTATTTTTACGTGCAGTGTAAATTATGTTAAGACGATGTGTTTTGACTGCCAGGCAAGCAGCTGATCAGTGGTATGTCTCGTGAAGTTATGATATAGCAATTCAATACTGAAGTTATATTTCCTTGATTTACAGACCTTAGCGAATCCGATGAGTGTCTTGAAATTATTGTCAGTTTTACCCAGTGCATGTCCAGTACTTGCCAACATGTGTAACAGACTTAAGACGTAACCGATCGCCCAAGCGGCTAACGAGCCGATCAGTGGTAAAGAGGATAAAAGTAAAAAGTAAAAGTATCGAAGAAACTCACTAACCTCGACAGCAGAACCTGTCAACAATAGAAAAACTCTGAATTGTATCACTATATTCATGAGTAGACTTAGGGCTGCGGTTGGCCGGCTCACCACAAAGTAGTATTGCCTTCCTATATGTACTTGATATCAGTTTAATTCTTGCATACCGCGCAGAATCAAAAGATAATTAATGTTGCTAAAACAAACCCAGCACCAATCACAGTCAACAACGAACATATACAATACTCCAATGAAGGCAAAATGCTGGGACTCACAATAACAAGAACAGAAATAACAAAACACATAAAACAATGCTTGCCCACTTATAACTCACAAAACTACGAAGACTCAGCAAAATGGACACCAACATTCAACTACATCCATTTTACTGTTAACGTTGAATACTTGTTTGGCTGTCGTTGAAGTAAGGCAAGTGGTCTATGTAATTCGTATCAGAGTTGACGTAAATTTGGTCAAGTCGTGATTGAACCCTAAGGAGTGGTTCAAGTGTTTAGGTTCTGGTAAAGTGTTCAGATACTCAACTTCATTTTAAATAAACCTTCTTTATTGTGTGTTGGGGGTGTCATTACCGCTGCAGTAAATGCCTTTGTTTCTTCTCCATATCTTGGTACCATTAAATACAACTGAATCCATGTCCCCTAGACCTCACCACGCTACCACATGTTAAAAGGTTAAAGGTTATGTGTATAAGAAGTAAAATTACTAAGAAATATAAAACAGAAGGAATAAAAAAGTAAGAAATTGAAAGAAAGAGAAATTGAAGTAGAGAATAAAACACGGAAACAAGCATAAAGAAATAAAGAAAATAAAGAATAAAAATTACGAAATAAAAGAAGTAAAATAAATAACTTCCTCTCCCACAATGGTGTACACGGCACGTACAACATCTTGTGACATAATACTGTATTAATATAAATCTTACAGCATAGTTTTCCCGTCACCCAGCCCATAAACACGTTACTGTACCAAGTTCACGAGCGAAGTATATACAAAGCTAGTACACAGGCTATTATATACACAGATGGACCACACTTTGCAACACGTGTGGGGGTGGGGTGGTGGCTTGGGGGGAGGCAGTGGCTTTTGGGGGGCAATGGCTTGGGGACAATGGCTTGGGGCAGTGGCTTGGGAAGGAGGGCAGTGGCAGGAAGGAAGGGCAGTGGCTTGGGAAGGAGGGCAATGGCTTGGGAAGGAGGGCAGTGGCTTGGGGGAGGGCAGTGGCTTGGGGAGGGCAGTGAGTGGGGCAGGGAGGGGGCAGTGGCTTGGGGAGGGGGGGGCAGTGGCTTGGAGGGGGCAGTGCGAGTCAAGGTGACAGTCGGTAGGGTCTATCAGATATCCCATGGTTGTATGAGATCTGTAAAGCTACAGAGATACACTTATTGTTTGCAAACGTTAATTTTCTTCTACAGTAGCCTCCAGTAGCCATCAAGAGCCACCAGTAGCCATCAGGAGCCTTCAGGAGACATCAAGAGCCACCAGTAGACATCAGAACCGACCAGGAGACACCAGTAGCCATCAAGAGCCACCAGTAGCCATCAGGAGACATCAGGAGCCACCAGTAGACATCAGAACCGACCAGGAGACACCAGTAGCCATAAAGAGCCACCAGTAGCCATCAGTAGCCATCGGGAGCCACCAGTAGCCATCGGGAGCCACCAATAGATATCAGGAGCCTGCAGTAGTCATGAGGAGCCACCAGTAGCCATGAGGAGCCACCAGCAGCCACCAGGAGCCTCCAGTAGCCATCGGGAGCCACCAGTAGCCATGAAGAGCCACCAGTAGCCATGAGGAGCCACCAGTAGCCATGAGGAGCCACCAGCAGCCACCAGTAGCCATCAAGAGCCACCAGTAGCCACCAGTAGCCACAAGTAACCAGCAGGAGCCACCTAGATCCATCAGGAGCCACCAAGAGCCATTAGTAGTCATCATGAAAAGTCTCCGTGTCAGCTGAATGACTCCGCTCGAACACTTTGTCTCCAAACCTGTACACAAGTTTTCTCTCGGGAACTGAGACCAACATGCCCGTCTTGTAGTGGTATCTGAAATAACGTTAATATGTCTTGTAATGTCTTGCTATTGATGAGTAAGATTATGTCTACATGTACATACGGTGAATATTTATCTACACACGTATACATGATGAGCATGTCTACACGAGTACACATGGTGAATATGTTTACACCTGTGCACATGATGAATATGTCTACGCACGTACACATGACGAATATTTATCCACACACGTACACATGATGAAAATGTATTCATATGTACACATAATGAATGTCTACAAATAAGACATTCATACATATATTCACTCTGTGAGATAATGGGTCAACTAGCAGGTGAGAGGCAGTTTATCTACCTGTGTGAGGTAATAAGTCAACAAGCAGGTGAGAGGCGGTTTATCTACCTGAGTGCCCGGGCGAAGTAATCATAGGGCAGAGTGTTGTGTTTTGGTCGACGTTGGCCCCACCTGAGCGCAACTTCCTGAGGGTTGATGAGCCTGAAGATGTGTTGTGCCTGGTTCTCCCAGCGGATGATGGACGGGTTACTAGCTGGGTCATCGAGCAGCGCCAGTAAAAACTCCCATAATTTGGGTCCTCGCTCTTCTGTAACCACAACAGAGGCTGCCTCAGTATTTATTATCAGAGAGAGAGAGAGAGAGAGAGAGAGAGAGAGTATAGTAGCAAGAGGTCGGAGGAAAAGGTTAATAAATGGTGCTGCACAGAAGGAAAATTGGATCTAAGGCCGCGAATGTTGGAAAAATGAAGTTTAAAAAAAGCCGATCCTCCAGTAACCGCGGTGACGTATGTTGAGGCCCCGGTAGTTTGATGATCAGGTCGGCCTTGGGGTCCACAACCTTCCTGACGAGTGGGACCCATCCTAGAAGGCCCGCTGTAATACTATTGTCAGCTGATATCATAGAACAAATAAAAGAATAGAAAGAATAAAACCGATCAAGAGTGAGAAAGGTTATATACAGTATGTTGTGTTGTCAATAGTAAGAGAAACAATTGAGACCCTGCAATTGTGTGTAAATGAGGCAAAAAGTCAGATTAGCACAATTTTTGTGATGCCATATGGCAGCAGGGTCTGCCATTAGACAACACATTAAAGTAGGTAAGGAGAGGTCGTACTAAAAGGGTTAATTATTAATCATAACAGTCAGGACGTGGGCAACACATATTTGTTATAATACGAGCTTGATGTGAACAAATATAGTTCAGTTGGCAGCTGTCCTGTAGAGAATCAGCAAGCCACATAGTACAGTACAAATGTGCCAAACAGTTAAGTTAATGGGTAACAAACTATTGCCAGTCTCATTATTATTATATTTATCAGATGAAGAATTTATGATGCAAAGTGATTTAGCTGTTGCATAAAGGCCTTAAAAGTAATAAAGTTTCTATGTTGTGCACGAGAGGGAACCCTCGACTCCACCTGCCCTGCCTCCACCACCAACTCTTACTCTGGGCTGCTGGTAGTGGAATCATTGCAGACAATGTACGGAGTAGAATAATGTTGTGTCCTCTCATTTTGATGAGGCAGTTATGATGAAAATACAAATACAAGTGATACCCAGTACAGGTATTTCAAGCAATGGTCACGATCTTATGAAGTAAAATCATATTTGTTTGATTATCTGGGAACTGTATCGCAAAGGCTGACTCATGTAAGGGTGAGCCGAGCACAGAATATAGAGATAGCAGACAAGTAGTATAAGGTGTAATTAAAATACTCAGAATGTATGGAAAAGGACATTTATTCTAAATACCAATAATATGAACGAGTAGCTGAAACGAATAATACCCTGGTCACCAATAACTCTGTCTTTGGGTGCAGTCACGTTACGGGGATTGCCCGTGACAACTATGGGGTCGTAGTAGTATTTCACTAATTCCAGCTAGGAAACACGAGGCTACCTATATACCTCAACAGTGCATAACGCGGAATTCCATATACAAGTAATACCTCACTGTCTCACTGTTCAGCCCCCAAAACTTCTTTTTTCATCAATAGTTCATTGACGGGACGAGAGCACCTGACGACGCGAAAGCCAAGCTGATACTTTCTTGTCTGCCACAAATCGATGTTCTACCCTATTTTCAAAGGGTTTTCGACCTTATTTCCAGTGTAGTAAGGAGATCTTATCAACTCCCATCGTAAAGAGCTAGACCGAAAATAGCGCTTTCCAACGAAAAACTAAAACACACAGTTTGAGATAAATTATAACATACCGTAACTGAAGATGAGGGAGGATCGGTGGCTGGTAGTGTTGTGAAAGATACGAGCAGTGTGAGTAGTGTGAGTCAGTATGGGATCCATGACAAGTACAAGACGCGTAAGGAGAGAGAGATGAAATGATAGAAAACGGATAGGGGTGACTGCTATACTTTGGTTTTGCACGGATGTGTGGGAGATTCAAACGGAGAGAGAGTTACTCCTGAAAGAGTTTCTTCATTATATTCTTTTTGAACAAAAAATAACAAATTTTGGCAGATGGCTTAACAACCCCCCTGTACCCACCTCACGCCCCCCAGTTTGGGACCCACTAGACTAAGGTTAGGATAGAAGTACCTCTGGCAGTATGTTCCTCAAACAGATGTGAACAAGACTAAATGTAAAGTGTGCGGCCAGACATACTGCCTCACATTCCTGTACTCTAAAATTTAATGCCATAATATCCTGACCACGGGGGCTAGTTATACTGACCCTTTGTGAACTCTACTCTGTAATCCTTTTGCGCTACCGCTCACAGGATGAGTATGGGGTGCACAATAAACTAGCCCCGGTCAGTGGCAAAATCAACCCCTCCTGCTCGCTCACTCGCTCACTATTGAATTTTTCGAATTTACACTTCAGGGTTCGGTGGTTCATACCTCAGGGAGAGAAAGGATTGGCAGCGTTAAGTGGTAAAGTCAGAAGTGTGGCCAACTGTACATACCTGGAGCTGGCGGACGTTCGACCCACAGGGTCACACCTCAAGGTTGAAAAAGCCCAAGTCCAGAAAACAGTGAGGGCAATTTTTTTCTGATTAAGAATTATTGTGAACTCTTGGAACAATCTACCATAGAGTGTTGTGACAGCACCGAGTGTGAGCTCTTTCAAGACCAGACTTGACCAACACTGAAGAAGATGCAGATATATTCAGGAGCCAGTTCATGCCCAGTACTTGACAACAGTGCGTAACAGAGATGTGACCGATCGCCCAAGCGGCAAACGAGCCGATCAGTGGTGAAGAGAATAAAAGAAGGAAAAAAGAAAAGAAAAATACGTTAACTGACGTAGAATGTAGTAATACTTACTCCTTCCTCTCTTGGGAGCTTCACCAAGCACTTGTTCCTCTGTAAAAGAAAACCAAGAAATGGTAATAAACAGAGACAATTAAAAGCACATTTGGCTATAAAAGACAACAAAGGACATTCAACTAGTGATGAAATATAAACTGAAGAGGAAGACCAACGTGAACATAAGACTTAAATGAAAGACAACAAGAACTAACCGTTTACGTACGAAGGCGAGGGTTGACATGCGCTTGCAGACGGACTAAACTCTGCAGACGTGCTGGCTTCCTCATAACTGTTCGGATTACTCCTATCTAGAAACTCTGTCTTTATAGTGAGTGTATTAAGAGGTTGCCAAGTGTTGTTGGGTGTAGTAGAGGGGTGATAAGTGTTGCTGGGTGTAGTAGAGGGGTGATAAGTGTCGTTGGGTGTAGCAGAGGGATGGTAAGTGTTGTTGGGTGCAGTAGAGGGGTGGTAAGTGTTGTTGGGTGCAGTAGAGGGGTGGTAAGTGTTGTTGGGTGCCGTAGAGGGGTGGTAAGTGTTGTTGGGTGTAGTAGAGGGGTGGTAAGTGTTGTTGGGTGCAGTAGAGGGGTGGTAAGTGTTGTTGGGTGTGGTATTGGGGTGGGAAGAGTATGAGTAGTCGGTAGTGTTTGGGTAACAAGGACGCCATGAGTCGAGGTGCTGGCCAGATGAAGAAGCGTGGCGGGGCTGCAGGTTGTAGTAGGTCTGACCAGTTGGTTCTGTATGGAGGCTACCATGTGCTGCTGTTTGTGAGTGGTGGTACAGTTGCTGCTCATAATGCCCTGTAACAAGTGGTGCAGTAGTACAGTAGTACAATGATACAATGGTGCAGTGGTACAATAACAGGGGTGCAATGGTGTAATGGTACAGAGGTGCAATTGTACAATATAGCAGTGATACAGATGTGCAGTAGTACAGAGTAGCAGTGGTACAGTGGTAATGAGGTAGAGTGATACTGTGGTAGAGTGATACTGTGGTACAGTAGTACTGTGGTACACTACTGGTAGTCACAAACCAATGTTACTTTACCCACTGGCTGGAGGGAAGGCAAAGTCAAGGTTGAAGAAAGGACATACACTCATTCAGTTGTTTGGTGACTGGTGAGGTACAGTGATGGTGGGGCCCACACTCCAACAGTGATGGTGGGGCCCACACTCCAACAGTGATGGTGGGGCCCACACTCCAACAGTGATGGTGGGGCCCACACTTCAACAGTGATGGTGGGGCCCACACTTCAACAGTGATGGTGGGGCCAACACATCAACAGTGATGGTGGGGCCCACACTCCAACAGTGATGGTGGGGCCCACACTTCAACAGTGATGGTGGGGCCCACACTTCAACAGTGATGGTGGGGCCCACACTCCAACAGTGATGGTGGGGCCCACACTTCAACAGTGATGGTGGGGCCGACACTCCAACAGTGATGGTGGGGCCCACACTTCAACAGTGATGGTGGGGCCCACACTTCAACAGTGATGGTGGGGCCCACACTCTAACAGTGATGGTGGGGCCCACACTTCAACAGTGATGGTGGGGCCCACACTTCAACAGTGATGGTGGGGCCCACACTTCACAGTGATGGTGGGGCCCACACTCACATCAGTGATGGTGGGGCCCACACTTCAACAGTGATGGTGGGGCCCACACTCCAACAGTGATGGTGGGGCCCACACTTCAACAGTGATGGTGGGGCCCACACTTCAACAGTGATGGTGGGGCCAACACATCAACAGTGATGGTGGGGCCAACACTCCAACAGTGATGGTGGGGCCCACACTCCAACAGTGATGGTGGGGCCCACACTCCAACAGTGATGGTAGGGCCCACACTTCAACAGTGATGGTGGGGCCCACACTTCAACAGTGATGGTGGGGCCCACACTTCAACAGTGATGGTGGGGCCCACACTTCAACAGTGATGGTGGGGCCCACACTTCAACAGTGATGGTGGGGCCCACACTCCAACAGTGATGGTTGGGCCCACACTTCAACAGTGATGGTGGGGCCCACACTCCAACAGTGATGGTGGGGCCCACACTTCAACAGTGACGGTGGGGCCCACACTTCAACAGTGATGGTGGGGCCCACACTTCAACAGTGATGGTGGGGCCCACACTTCAACAGTGATGGTGGGGCCCACACTTCAACAGTGATGGTGGGGCCCACACTTCAACAGTGATGGTGGGGCCCACACTTCAACAGTGATGGTGGGGATGGTGGGGCCCACACTTCAACAGTGATGGTGGGGCCCACACTTCAACAGTGATGGTGGGGCCCACACTTCAACAGTGATGGTGGGGCCCACACTCCAACAGTGATGGTGGGGCCCACACTTCAACAGTGATGGTGGGGCCCACACTTCAACAGTGATGGTGGGGCCCACACTTCAACAGTGATGGTGGGGCCCACACTCCAACACGAAAACACAGGTAAAAGCTAAGATTCAAAACATTGCCATGATATAATATGTTGGTAGGGCTATAAATATTTTCTGAATATTAATGTGTAACGACAGCAGACAGCAAAGGGTATGTCTGTTTGTCAGGTCTTTATTTAACCTTGGCTTCCCCTTCCCTCCAGAAACTTTGGATTGTGACTGTACATTGATATAGTGAAATACAAGTATAGTGCGTGCGTGCGTGTGTATGCGCATGCTTGCGTGTGTGCATGCATGCGTGTGTGCATGCGTGCGTGTGCGCGTGCGTGCGTGCGCGTGCGTGTGTGCGTGTGTGTGTTTGTGTGTGTGTGCATGCGTGTGTGTGTGCATGCGTGTGTGTGTGTGTGTGCGCGCACACAGGGTGGCGAAATGCGTCTAGTGTGGCAGCATTATGTTAGTGTTAAGGTGCAAACATTGCTTCCTCTCCCTTCCAGCTATCGCCGCTGGCTAGCCCTCGTGACGAACAGGGAAGCAACTTGCATAAGTCCTCCCCTGCCAGTACACAGCCTCCTCACCATCAAGACTCCTGCTGTGCCTCCTCGTGGCAACACACGGTACTGGGTGCCTTGTGGGCCCAGGCTAGACCAGCAGGGGATCTCGGAGCAGCAGTGGGCCCCAGAAGGACGGCGTATAGGCCCACTGGCATGTGGACACGTTCTGGCGCCTACCAACCATTGCCCCGCTGCCTTGCGGATTAATCTTGATAGGTATAAAGCTACGGGAGTAAACCCCAGATGAACAATCTGCGGTGGAGTCCCGCATCAGGCAGACATGATAACAGAGCTCCAACACGACCCCAACGGCTGTATAGGCAGAAGAGATGGCCAACATGGGAACCCAACGACTACACCAACGGACGAAGGCAATTCATGATGGACAGGCTACTAAGGCTAAACCCAACAAACCGGGCTATTGTCAATCCATTGCAACTCTCCCTTTCCCTAGTCGTTGCAACACTTGCACCACTGGATTAGGAAAAGGGGGGAGCCATGATGTGTGTTTGCAGCCTGCGCTCCTGCCTCACCACATAAATCAACTCAAGCGCAGCCATCATCCAGCTCATTCATCATCCAGCTCATCATACCTCTCGCTATCATCATCAAAACCCCAATACCACCAAAAGTTCAATGGCGGCGGACGAGAGGCGACGGGGACAGGCAGTGATGACTGCCGGGAGTCTCTAGTCACAACTCTACACATGGGCGGCACAGATAAGATGGTCGTTGATGCACTGGGATCTGGACAGCAGTGCTATCCGATCCTGTTTGTGCGACTGAGCAGCTCTTTCGAGGGCCCACTCTGCTCATCCTACATGGGGAGGGGGCTAGAAAAGGTGCCCGAAACATAGCCTGCCTAAAAAAACAACCAGTAAGGTCATCCGTATGCAGTCGAAAACACAATCAAAATCACAGATACAAATAAAAACATCCTATACGACCTCTTATGGTCGCTGCATGGAATGTTAGGACCCTTCTGAATACTGGCACAAATGAGCATCCTAAAGAAGAACCGCCCTTGTGGCAAAAGAGCTGGCTAGGTATAACATCGACACAGCAGCCATCAGTGAGTCCTGGCTCCCAGACGAGGGTCAACTCACAGAACGGGGGTCTGGCTATACCTTCTACTGGAAGGGTAAGCCTGCTGCGGAGTGAAACCGCATTTATGGAGTTGGCTTTGCCATCCACCAACGCATCCTACACATGCTAACTGAAATGCCTATTGGGTTCAACAAGCGCCTCATGACGCTCAGACTCCCACTGAATCACTCAGGTCATGCCTTATTCTTGAATGCATATGCTCCAACACTGGATGCAGAGGATGACATCAAGAAGGCCTTTTACGCCTACCTCGACAGGGTGCTAACCTCTATCCCCACGGAAGATAAAGTTGTGCTCCTTGGTGACTTCATTGCCAGAGATGGCAGAGATGCTGGCATTTGGCAGGGAACCAAAGGGAGAAATGAAATTGCGAAGTGTATTCCTGACGGCCTACTCCTCCCCATCAAGTGTGCTGCACCAATACCATGTTTAGGCAGGCCTACAAGTTCAAGGGTTCGTGGCAACACCCACAATCCAAACACTGGCATCTCATTGACTACATCATTGTCATTGAAAGAGATCGCCGAGATGTCCGCATGACCCGTGCCGTGCGTGGCTCAGACCACTGAGACACTGATCATCTGCTCGTCAAAGCCAAGCCCTCGCTTCACGTCGCCCCAAAACGGCGAAGGCAGCAAGCCTCCAGTAGAGGTTTTAACACTAAGTGTCTGGAGAATCCAGTGGTAGCACATGCTTTCAGAGAGCAGCTCGAACATGGGCTGATAAATAACCCAACAACAAACAACCCAAATCCCAGTGCCGAATGGGATATTCTCGACACTGTCATGACAAAAACTTGCAGAGAGACCCTCGGCCAGATCGAAAGAATACACCAGGACTGGTTTGATGAAAACGACCCGGAAATCAATGTACTCGTCGATGATAAACGTGCTGCTTTAACTGACTGGCAGAAAAACCCTCAGTTTCAGACCAAAGCTGATACCTTCCGCAAGAAGAAAGCGGCTTCGCAGCGGGAACTTCACAATCTAAAGAACGACCGGTTTAAAAATAAAGCATGTGAAGCACAAAAAATTGCAGATCAGCACAAGATGCGGTAATTTTTTAATTCCAATCACTCGCGGCGCAGCCCCCCTCCACTCATCCGATGGGAACTCCATAATTGAAGACGACGAAGGCCTCCTTCAGCGCTGGAAAGAACACTACTATTCATTGCTCAACCGAAACAACGATGTGGATGTCCTGACTACCCAGCAGGTGCCTCAGCATCCAGAGCTGACCCACCTCAGCTATCCACCATCCCTGGATGAGGTAGCTATTGCCATCAAACGGATGAAAAATAACAAAAGCCTCAGGGCCTGATGGAATCCCAGCCGAGGTGTATAAAGCAGGAGGACCTCTGCTTACCAGACGTCTCCACTCTCTCCTGGAGAATATATGGGAATTCCCCAAGCTCTTAAAGACGCCTCCATAGTCAATATTTATAAGCAAAAGGGAGACCAGTCAGACTGTGGCAACTACCGTGGGATCTCCCTGCAGTCTGTAGCTGGCAAAATTATCACCCGAGTCCCTAAACAGACTTCTTCCTGAGGCAGAAAACTTCCTCCCAGAACCTCAATGTGGCTTTAGACCATCACGTGGAACCACTGACATGATCTTTGCTGCACATTAGATACAGGAAAAGTGCAGAGAACAGCGTTGTGGCCTGTACATGGCCTTCAGCGACCTAACCAAGGCATTCGACTCAGTCAACAGAGAAGCTCTCTGGTGGACCCTCATCGCCATTGTGAGGCAACTTCACGATGGCATCAACGGCAGTGTCCTGCATGATGGCACCCAGTCTGAGTTCTTCCCCATCCAAAAGGGGGTTAAACAAGGATGTGTACTGGCACCAACTCATTTCCATTTTCTTGGCTGCCTTCCTTACTCGTGCCAGCGCAATCTTAGCCGGCGGGGTGGACATCCGGTACCGGATGAAGGGTCTTTTTAACAAAAGACGACTCCAGGCAGCAATAAAGGTGTAGGCAGCTTCCATTACTGAACTTCAGTATGCAGACGACCTCACCCTTGTCGCTAACACTGAATGCGACCTACAGGAGATCCTGAACACCTACGCAGATGCGTATGCACACTCCGGCCTTGAGGTGAATGTACGTAAGACTCAGATTCTCTTTCAGCCTGTCCCTGGTTCAGCCACACCTTCACCATCCAACCAGCTTAAAGGTACTACCCTCACTAATGTTACCCACTTCCGGTATCTCGGCTCCCACCTGTCCACCACCGTGGACATCGATGAAAAGATTCAGAATCGGATCAGATGTGCATCTCATGCCTTGGCAGACTCCGAAACCGTGTTTTCATCAGTAGAGAGCTGAAATTATCTACTAAGTTAAGCATATATCGAGCAGTGGTCCTCCTCACCCTGCTATATGGCAGCGAGACAAGGGTCACATATTGTACAGGAGGCACCTCAAGGAACTTGAAAACTTTCACCAACGTAGTCTACGTTCCATCCTCTGAGTTTGCTGGGAAGACAAAAGAACAAATGCCAGTATTCTTGCTGACACCAACTGTAGGAGCATCGAGGCTACCATTATCCATGAACAACTACGCTGGACTGGCCATGTTACCGGCATGGACGACAGTAGACTGCCAAAGCAGCCACTTTACAGTCATCTAACGAATAGTAAACGTAACACTGGCGGGTAATTGAAGAGGTTTAAGGATAATTTTAAGACAAACCTGGAAAAGTGCCAAATCGATCTCCTCACCTCGAAGACGATTACTCTACACCGTAACGTTTGGAGGAGCACCACAGAAGAAGGTGTCATTACTGCCGAGTTAGCCCGACTGCATAACGAAACAGACAAGCGCCAAAGCCGGAAAGACGCTGCCCCCTCCCCCACCTGTTCAACTTCTGTTGACGGCCCTGCCGGTCCCGTATCGGCCTCTTTAGCCTCCTCAGAATTCACCAACCTAGGTGACATCCTTAATAACTCATATCATTATATCATAGTTGGATGATCGTCATAATCGATTCCGAGTGACAGCAAAGTAGTGGTAGTATGTGTGTAGTGTGTGTTGTGCTTGCATGCATTTGTGTGTGTGTGGGTGTGTGTGTGTGTGGGTGCGTGTGTGTGTGTGTGTGTGTGACCTTGCGTGCGTGTGCACGTGTAGATGCGCGTGTGTGTGTGTGTGTGTGTGTGAAAAGCACTTAATTACCTTGGTAGGAAGAGGAAGGAAGATTGGGAGCTTCCCGTCTGAAGTTCATAAGGGCTTGGTAGAACAGTTTGCCGTGTAGTGTGTTAAGATCAGTAAATTGGTCTTGTGACATGGCCAACAGCTGGGCTCCAGTACAATCCGCGAAGCCATCAATGTTCCTCGCGTCGATACCGTTCTCCACACACACGGAGTACAGCCAACCACGCACCTCCTGTCAACAACAAATACCTTGCGTACGATAATTTATTCCCTTGAGTACGATGATTTATTCCCTTCAGTACGATGATTTACCACCCTGAGTACGATGATTTAAGCTCTTGAGTACGATATTTTATCCCCCTGCGTACGATACTTTATCCTCTTGAGTACCTTTAATTTATTTCCTTGAGTACAATGATTTATCCCGCTGAGCATGAAGAATTATCCCTTGAGTACGATGATTTATTCCCTAGATTACGATGATTTATCACCCTGAGTACGATGATTTAACCCCTTGAGTACGATATTTTATCTCCTTGAATACGATAATTTATTTCTTTGAGTACGATGATTTAATCCAAAGTACGACATTTCAACTCATTGAATACGAAGATTTATCCCCGGAGTACGATAATTCTCCCCTGAGTACGATAATTTACCCCCCCCCCCCGAGTACGATAATTAAGCTCTTTGAGTATGCTGATTAAACCCCTTGAATACAATGACAGCCAAACTCTTAAACTAACAGCCACGCTCTTAAACTAACAGCCACACTCTTAAACCGACAGCCACACTCTGAAAGCGACAGCCACACTCTGAAAGCGACAGCCACACTCTGAAAGCGACAGCCACACTCTTAAACCGACAGCCACACGCTGAAACTGACAGCCACACCTCTTAACCCGAAAGCTATACCTCTAAACCTGACAGCCACACTCTTAACCTGGCAGCAACACGCTTAAACTGACAGCCACACTCTTAAACTGACAGCAACACGCTTAAACCGACAGCCACACTCTTAACCTGACAGCCACACACTTAAACTGACAGCAACACGCTTAAACCGACAGCCACTCTTAAACTGACAGCCACACTCTTAAACTGACAGCCACACTCTTAAACTGACAGCCACACTTAAACTGACCACACTCTTGAACTGACAGCCACACTTGAACTGACAGCCACACTCTTAAACTGACAGCCACACTTAAACTGACAGCCACACTCTTAAACTGACAGCCACACTTTTTAAACCGACAGCCACACTTAACCTGGCAGCCACACTTAACCTGGCAGCCACACTCTTAAACTGACAGCCACACTCTTAAACTGACAGCCACACTCTTGAACTGACAGCCACACTCTTGAACTGACAGCCACACTCTTAAACTGACAGCCACACTCTTAAACTGACAGCCACACTCTTAAACTGACAGCCACACTTTTAAACCGACAGCCACACTCTTAAACTGACAGCCACACTCTTAAACTGACAGCCACACTCTTAAACTGACAGCCACACTCTTAAACTGACAGCCACACTCTTAAACCGACAGCCACACTCTTAAACTGACAGCCACACGCTTAAACTGATAGATATATTTGGTCAAGCTAAATTTAAGTTCGACTAAGTTAGGTTAGATCAGGGCAGAGTTATGTTAATCTGGGTCAGGTTAAGATAAGTTAGGGTAAATTAGGTTAGGCTCGGTGAAAGTTAATTTAGACTAAGTTATTTCAGGTTAAAGTTATATTACTGTATGTTAGATCAGGGTAGTGTTAAATTAGGATAAGTTAGGTTAGGTTAGTGTTAAAATAAGATAAGTTAGATTCGGTTCGTGTTAAATTAGGATAAGTTAGGTTAGGTTCGTGTTAAATTAGGATACGTTTGGATTCGTTAAGTTAGTGTTGAGTTAGGATATATTAGGTTAGGGCTAGTGTTAAATTAGGGTAAGTTGTTAGGTTAAGGTAGTGTTAAATTAGGGTAAGCTATATTAGGTCAGTGTTAAATTAGGATAAGTTAGGTTAGGTTATTGTTAAATTAGGATAAGTTAGGTTAGGTTCGTGTTAAATTAGGAAAAGTTAAATTAGGTTACGTTAGGTTAAGGTAGTGTTAAATTAGGGTAAGTTATGTTAGGTCAGTGTTAAATTAGGATAAGTTAGGTTAGGTTAGTGTTAAATTAGGATAAGTTAGGCCAGGTTTGGTTAGTGTTGAATTAGACTAGGTTATCTCAGTTTAAAGTTAGTTAAAATACGTTAGGTTTGGTTAATATTAAATTAGGGTAAGTTAGATTAAATTAGGCAAAAGTTAAATTGAGTTACCTGTTGTTGCCACATACGCACGGGGTTGTGGCGATACATTGTGCTTGAGTCCTCCACGAAGTCACTCTCATACAGCAAATTATCCCACCTGGAAGACACCTGTTGTTATTATCCCACCTGTAAGACACCTGTTGTTATTATCCCACCTGGAAGACACCTTTTGTTATTCTCCTACCTGTAAGACACCTGTACAGGGTGTCTCATAAGTCACCACAGTGTACAGGGTGTCTCATAAGTCACCACAGTGTACAGGGTGTCTCATAAGTCACCACAGTGTACAGGGTGTCTCATAAGTCATTACAGTGTACAGGGTGTTTCATAAGTTACAGACAGTGTACAGGGTAGCTCATAAATCACCACAGTGTACAGGGTGTCTCATAAGTCACCACAGTGTACAGGGTGTCTCATAAGTCATTACAGTGTACAGGGTGTTTCATAAGTTACAGACAGTGTACAGGGTATTTCATAAGTTACAGACAGTGTACAGGGTGTCTCATAAGTCACAGACAGTGTACAGGGTGTCTCATAAGTCACAGACAGTGTACAGGGTGTCTCATAAGTCACAGATAGTGTACAGGGTGTTTCATAAGTCACAGACAGTGTACACTGTACAGGGTGTCTCATAAGTCACAGACAGTGTACAGGGTGTCTCATAAGTCACAGATAGTGTACAGGGTGTTTCATAAGTCACAGACAGTGTACAGGGTGTCTCATAAGTCACAGACAGTACACAAGAAAGTAGCCAAACGGGTAGTAAAATTTCACCTGAAGGTCAAGTTAGGTCAGTGGGTCGATCGTACACTACAAGTGAACGATAGATGAGAGGAGAGAGACAAGAGGTACATAAAACACGAAAGGTTCAGAGATTAAAGGAGACATAACTGCCGGGAAATATATACACATAGATAACGAAATGAATGAGATAGAACTATATGAAAAAGTGTGTTTGAGGCAGAAGAACTAACAGACACAATTTGAAGAGCTCTACAATAACAGCTACACAGTGGAGGTATGAAACGAAAATAAAATTAGAAATGAACAAATTTTTGTTTGTTTGAGAAGCCAATTACTACTACTGAAAGGTTATAAAAATTTTGCAAAAAATTTCACCAGTAAAATCGATGGTTCACAAACGTTCGGACTATTCTTCAGGTGTAATAAGCTGGGGCTAATCTTCAGGTGTAATAAGCTGGGGCTAATCTTCAGGTGTAATAAGCTGGGGCTAATCTTCAGGTGTAATAAGCTGGGGCTAATCTTCAGGTGTAATAAGCTGGGGCTAATCTTCAGGTGTAATAAGCTGGGGCTAATCTTCAGGTGTAATAAGCTGGGGCTAATCTTCAGGTGTAATAAGCTGGGGCTAATCTTCAGGTGTAATAAGCTGGGGCTAATCTTCAGGTGCAAGCTGGGGCTAATCTTCAGGTGTAATAAGCTGGGGCTAATCTTCAGGTGTAATAAGCTGGGGGCTAATCTTCAGGTGTAATAAACTGGGGGCTAATCTTCAGGTGTAATAAGCTGAGGGCTAATCTTGAGGTGTAATAAGCTGGGGGCTAATCTTCAGGTGTAATAAGCTGGGGGCGAATCTTCAGGTGTAATAAGCTGGGGGCGAATCTTCAGGTGGTCGGTACAAGCCCACAAAAGGTTAATTTTGTACTGCAGGTATTAGTATACAGGTGCGTCCAGCCTTGACCCATTTTAGTCTTACTTGATAATAATTAGGAGTACTTGGCAGTGTCTGTAGTACCTGGTAGTGTCTGTAGTACCTGGTAGTGTCTGTAGTACCTGGTAGTGTCTGTAGTACCTGGTAGTGTCTGTAGTACCTGGTAGTGTCTGTAGTACCTGGTAGTGTCTGTAGTACCTGGTAGTGTCTGTAGTACCTGGTAGTGTCTGTAGTACCTGGCAGTGTCTGTAGTACCTGGTAGTGTCTGTAGTACCTGGTAGTGTCTGTAGTACCTGGTAGTGTCTGTAGTACCTGGTAGTGTCTGTAGTACCTGGTAGTGTCGGTAGTACTTGGCAGTGTCTGTAGTACCTGGTAGTGTCAGTAGTACCTGGTAGTGTCTGTAGTACCTGGTAGTGCCTGTAGTACCTGGTAGTCGGTAGTACCTGGTAGTGTCTGTAGTACCTGGTATTAATAGAGCCAGTTATCTTTCCTGAGAAAGAGAGAGAGAGAGAGAGAGAGAGAGAGAGAGAGAGAGGCGACTCAACACCACTTTGTATTCGATGCAAGTGGTTGAGTTTTCCTGAAGCAAGATCGTCGAGTGACTACTTATCTACTGCTTGACTCTTGTGTGTGTGTGTGGGGGGTGTGGGTGTGTGTGTGTGTGTGTGTGTGTGTGTGTGTGTGGAAGAGAGAGAGAGAGATAGCTGACTCTCCGTATCTTATCATTGTTTTATCACCTGTTTTTCAGTAAGACTCTGCTTTGTCTCTTTTTTTATATTCCCACGTCATACACACGCCTATACGACTCGCATGAAGATTAACCATCCCACCTTATTTTACCTAAAGATTAGCCACCCTAACTCTATGAGGGATATTAGGAAAGGTCATATTAGATGACGTTAAGTTAGTGTTAGTATGGATTAAGTAATCCAAGTGAGGTCTCACAAGCAAAATATATACTTTTAGGATGACCTCTCTCTAGTCTTGTAACTAACACTTTTTGTATGAACCCAAGGACTTTGTCAGCCTGGTTTTGAACAAATACATTGTTTACTTTGTTTATGATTCCTACTTATCATTACTCCTAAATCTTTCTCACAGTCTGATTTTTCTATAACAACGTTGTTCATATGATATCTGGTTTCTGTTTATATCTCCTAGGCTAAATACTTTACATTTGTCCACATTAAATTTCATCTGCCATTTTGTAAATCATGTTTAATTTTTTTTAGATCTTCCTGTAGTTTTGCGGAGTCCTCGTCTGATTTAATTACACGCCGTTAATGCTTACTCGCTGTTTCCTGTCCTGTAACCACGCCCTAATCCATTTTAGAATATCCTCCAATGCCATGAGCCTCCACTTTTCGCATTGTCTTTCGTGGGGACTCTGTAGAAGGCTTTGCTAAAGTCGAGGTATACCACATTGTAGTCGTCCCGTCATCCACTGATTCGAAAACAGTTGAAAAGAATGTTAATAGATTAGTCAGACATGAACGCCCACTTGTGAAGCCATGTTGGGAATCATTGATCAACTTGTGCTTTTCCAGGTGATTTCGAATAGAGTTTGAAATTATTGCTTCCAGTAATTTGCCTACAATTGATGTTAAACTGATTGGACGGTAGTTAGAGGATAGTGATCTATCTTCCTTCTTGAAAATCGATATCACAATCGCAATCTTCCAGGATTTTGGTACTACATTAGTTTTTAATGACATTTTAATTTTTTTAAGGGTTAGGTAAGGTAAGGTTAAGTTAGGTAAGGTAAGGTTAAGTTAGGTAAGGTCAGGTTAAGTTAGGTAAGGTTAGGTTATGTAAGGTTAGGTAGGTAAGGTTAGGTTAGGTAGGTTAGTTTAAGTTGGGTTAGGTTAAGGTAGGTAAAGTTAGGTAAGTTTATGATAGGTTAGGCTAAGTTAATCTTCAGGCGATGGAAATAATTGTCAGTACTCTACTCAAACATTATGTGCTGTACATCTTTGTGCAGGCAAAGGCCGAGTGTACAGAGTAGGAGGTGTATGGGAGGAGTCACAGTACACCCTCACACACCCTCACCACTACACCCACTGTGTATCGACACCTCACACACCCCTCACCACTACACCCACTGTGTATCGACACCCCTCACACACCCTCACCACTACACCCACTGTGTATCGACACCCTCACACACCCTCACCACAACACCCACTGTGTATCGACACCTCACACACCCTCACCACAACACCCACTGAGTATCGACACCCCACACACACACACACACACACACACACACACACACACACACCTCACCACTACACCCACTGTGTCGACACCTTCACACACCCTCACCACTACACCCACTGTGTATCAGAAACCCTCACACACCCTCACCACTACACCCACTGTGTATCGCACACACACACACACACACACACACACACCCTCACCTACACCCACTGTGTATCGACACCTTCACACACCCTCACCACTACACCCACTGTGTATCAGAAACCCTCACCCTAACCACTACACCCACTGTGTATCGACACCCACTGTGTATCGACACCCACACACACACAGACCCTCACTACCACCCACTATGTATCGACACCCCACCCACACACACACACCTCACCACTACACCCACTGTGTATCGACACCCTCACACACCCGCACCACAACACCCACTGTGTATCGACACCCCCCACACACACACACCCTCACCACTACACCCCTGTGTATCGACACCTTCCCACCCTCACCACTACCCACTGTGTATCAAACCTCACACACCCTCACCACTACACCCACTATGCATACCCTCACAAACCCTCACCACTACACCCTGTATCGACCCTCACCACTACACCCACTGTGTCGACACCCTCACACACCCTCACCAACTTGCTGTGTATCGACACCCTCACACACCGTACTACAACACCCACTGTGTATCGAACACCCTCCACACCCTCACCACTACCCCACTGTGATCGACACCCTCACCACTACACCCCACTGTGTATCGAAACCTCACCACACACCCCACTGTATCGACACCCCTACATCCTCACCACTACACCCACTGTGCATCGACACCTTCCCACCACCACTACCCTGTGTATCAGAAACCCTCACCACTACACCACTGTGTATCGACACCCTCACCACTACACCCACTGTGCATCGACACCTTCCCACACCCTCACCCTACACCCACTGCGTATCAGAAACCCTCACCACTACACCCACTGTGTATCGACACCCTCACACACCTCACCAATACACCACTGTGCATCGACACCTTCCCACACCCTCACCACTACACCCACTGTGTATCGACACCCTCACACACCCCTCACCACTACACCCACTGTGTATCGACACCTTCCCACCCTCACCACTA